ACGGTTCAGCAACCAAGAAGGAAGAACAACCCATGTTAAGATGGTCAACATCTTATTTTATTATATTGAGATAAATTAACATTTTCTATATTAATAGATTGATACTTAATTTTTATAAGGCTAAAATATCACTATGTATTAATCGAGATTATTTTTAAAACATATTTATATAGATAAACTATTATGAAAAATATGACAATTTTTTGTTCAAATTTATTTTGATGCTAGTTTTTCTTCGTTTGTTAAACAATAAAATTTGATTTGATTTGATAATTAAATAATTAATGTAAAACGTATATGTTCCTAATAACTTTTATTGCGAATCCACTTTAGCGATTACTATTCGAAACAAATATCACGAATTTTTTTATCGCAAAACCTTTTAAACGAATACATTACAGCGAATATTTTATAGAGAAGTCATAACAGCGAAAACATTTCGTGAAGATATTTTAGCGAATTTAATATCACGAGATTAATATTGCGATAATTGCCAATAGTGACTATTTTATTTTGAATCATTTATTTTATGATCATATTAATTGAATAATATTTAAAAAAAATATGTACAAGATTGAATCAATGATAGTTTTAATTTTCTTTTAGCCTTAATAAATTTATATAATTAAAACTATTTGGTTTATAAAATTTATCATTGGAATAAATATTTTTTCCTCCTAAGCTTTATTAATATATTAATCATTGAGTCCATTCTTAAACCTTGATCCTTATTGGCGAAATTGTTGCGTCAATATTTATTATCTAAAGTACTTAATATTTATTAATTCCAGTCACTAACCGAAACAGAGTTATAAGCTATTAAACTGTCTTTATCAAATTTTGAATGGCGATTCAAAAATAAATTACATCTAAGTATAAGGTGTCCCTAAGTCAAAATATTTTATGATTTTACGATCTTTATATATATATCTCTTCTGATTACATAGATATAAAATATTAATTTAAAAATTTGATAGGAATCTGCTAATATTAAGACGTAGCCTTAAGCATAGTTTGCCCTACTTTGGCAAGAACTAATTCTGAAGCTTGAGCCAATAACTACAATACATATAGATTAGTGCTACATCCTATATTATTTTTTTCTCTTAATTACTCAGAATTAAAACTACTTAAAGTAATTTTTACTGAATTCTCAAAAGATGATTTTGCTAAGTGAAAATTTTTATTTTCTCATAAATTTCTTAGAAAATATAATATATCGCACAGAAATTTTTACTATTTCTTTTATTTTTAAGTGCATAAGCTTGATTTTTTGACTTTTAAAATTAATCATTACTCTATGTCATAATAACTCGGAAAAATTAAAAAAATATTCGGAGAAAATTTAAAAAAATTACTTAGCAAAATCTTTTATGATTTTTAAAAATAATCTGAGATTGCAAAAATTCTTAGCTTTTGATATTTCTTAATTGGAAAAATTTCTAAGCATTTCAGAATATTTGTTAAAATTTACTTTTAATAGCATAAAGCACATTTTTAAAATTTATGCTAAGGAGGGGAGGGGGGGTAAAAACTTGAACCAAAATACCCCCTGCCTGCCCCACCACCATATTTACAACCATAAGTGAAAGAGACCAGAAAGAAATTGGCTGATTTATTTTCTATCACATTAGATAAAGGTTGCATGCTTACATAGACAATATGTAACTAAGTATCCTTAAAACATATCGCGTTTATCATTTAAGGAACTTTGGTGGATAAATTGAAATTGTATATGTTGTTTTTCTTTAAATTAATGAACTCGCAATATATTTATTATTTCGCGGTTATGTTTCGCGATAATGACTTCGCGCTATTACATTCGCAGTAGAAAATTCGTTAGAAAGGGTTCGCTAAAATGTATTCGCGGAATAAATTCACGATGTTGGATTCGCGATTCTGTCTTCGTTAAATATTTCAAAAAAATTCGAGGAATTGGCTTCCCAATAAACGAAATTCATGAAAAAGTGTTTCGCTGAATTGACCTGATAGGCAAAACTACATCTTGATATATTTTACAAAAGGCATTTATCGTTATTTAGATTTATTTTGGGGTGTATTTATATATAATAATTGATATATTTTCAATATATTTTTGTTTTTCGGTTGTTTTAATAATATTTTTTGTTTTTCTATTAAATTTATTAAATATCTGTACGAGTTCGATTGAGATATCTCTTAAAATCCGATTTTATTTTTTTACAACGAAATTAAAACAAATAAGGCATTAATTTTATAATGGATATGGTAATTCTTTTTAAAATATAAATTATGGATTGAACAATTCGTAATTCTCCTGAAGAATGCCAATTTCATCATGTAATATTGGAACATGTAGAAATAAATTATATTCTTGTTATAATATAATTTTATTTATAATTAAATTATAAGAAAAATAGGACTATTCTAATTGAAATTCAACTCCTGAAAGCTAATAAGACAAAGAAAATAATCAATTGGGCTCTTTACCTTTAATAGCAAAACCCCAAAGATTTTTTTAAAACCCTTAAAACATTACTCAAATTTTTCTCTATGATTATTGATTTTAGAGATGGAATAAAACCATTTTCAAAAGTTTCTAATCCTTCCCTTATGATTAAAAAAATATTACTAAAAAAAGGTAATTTGCCACAGTGATCAGAAGAATTTCATAAAGTCAGAAAGGATGAAGTACATACTATGATATTGCATTAAAATATAGGCCCGCGTGCCCAAAAAATATCTTCCCTTCCTATTCTTCCTTTTTTTGCAGCATTGAATATTACAAAAAATTATGACCTGTGCGCCGACAAACTATCGGCGGCCGGCGCAATTTTCAAAAAATCCTATCGACGGCCGGCGGCGCGCCGATTTTTAGCCGCCGTCAACAAAAGCGTAAATCGGCGCAGTTATAAATTTTTATAACATAAATTTTTTTAATTGCTTATTATTTTTTAAAAAAACGAATATACATTACTCTACAGATATCAAGAAATATTTTTTAATATTTATTTAATAGAAAACTCATTATAAATCCAAAATCGATTTCGTAATTTTATAATTATCATGTATAAAAATTATTTTATTTAAATTTTCGGGATAATAATGATCCCCTTGAATTTAACATCAATCCAGCGGTAGAGAAAATTCTTTCACTAGGTGTGCTAGTCACCCGAATGCAAAGAATTTTTTGGCAAGCCTGGAAAGATTGGGAAGTTTACTCTTCTTTTCTCTAAAAATTTATACGTCCATATCTTATGATCGTTTTCCAAGAAAACTGTGGCAATCTTGTTCTAAGTCACCTAACTTGGAATCATAATTTATATTTGTTGAATGTTTATTTGTCAATTTTGTCAAATAACTTAAATATAATAATTCATCTTGATCCTCATTAGCTATAATACTACCTGATTATCATCATTCTCTATAAGTTTAATATGTTATATTACATATTCTGAAGCTGAACAATTTTGCTCTATTAAATACTTTGACATAATTGTCAATTTTTGAAATCTTGGATCTAAAAGAGAAGCCAATACCTAGATAATTTTAAATAAAAAATAAAAAGAATATACTTATATATTATTACTTGCATATTACACACCGAAAATCGTAACGCAAGTTTTTTTAGCATATCTTAAGTGAAATGATTTCAGAACTATCACTATCATTTACTATTTGTTTCAATTTCACTAACGCCAAGTTTAAAGTAGGCCCTTTTTGTACTGAAAGAAATTCGACTTTCTATAAATTTTGAAAGAAATGCTAATCGTTTTTCTACCAGCTCAGATTCATAATTTGATAATTTGAGAAAGTGCTTCCCAATTCTTTTCAAAACATTATTAATTAAATTCTTATTTAATCCAGATATGCTTTCTAGCATAATTAATATACTATGCTAACATGTTGGGACATTTAATTTTAAGGTTTTCATACGCGTGGAATTATTGTTATTATTATCATTGGAATTGCCAATTTGAAAACGGATACCCGGGTATGGATCAATGCTGTCAAGATCTAACATGTCTGATGTTAAATCTATTGTACTTAGACATTTTTTTGATCTTCCTCTAATTCAAATTCAACCTCTGCAGTTTTATACCTTAGAGCAGTAATGATTTCTCTAATTCTTTTGCAAAAAATTTCCAGACTATGGATTTTTTATTACCCAGAGTTAGGATACTAACATAGAATTATTAAATGTAGATGCATCCATTTTAAAAATATATAAAATTATATGGTAACTTTTGGAATTTTAGATTTTTGATTGATTGAATTCTATAATAACGTCAATATAATTATGATTTTAAAATAGTAGAAAATAAAAATTCATCAAAATCCTGATTGACATTAAAAAAATTACAACAGTGAAGTTGACCAATTATTAGAATAAAAAGGTATGAAATATGAAAGAAATTTCTGCGCCCGTGATTTTTTTAAACGGTCAGCACTAAGTATATGTAATTCATAATTGTAATAAATTATATCAAATTATCAAAGTTATTGATGAATATTTAATTTTATGCATAACATTAAAATAGACGATAAAATAAATGCTCAGAGTTTGAAATATATATTTAAAAGTCGGGTTTAGCCAGGAAAAAATTTTGCCACTGGGTTTAGGGTGGGTTCAGACTGAAGAAATCGAATATGAAAGTCTAAAATATATACCATAAAATTTGAGTTTAACAATAGATCCCAAATTTTAACATTAAGTCTTTAAAAATTTTTTGATAAATAAGTTTTATCGAAAGTGTATTGCAAAAAATTGTTATCTAGATACATTTTTAAGCATATCGGTATCTGCTGGATACCCTTTTATCGGTATATCTATATCTAAATATATTTGAAAAATATCCCAACAACTCTGCAAGCTACAAATTACTCTTGTAATTAGAATTAAATATTTAAAAGATAATTTATATAGAATTTATTTGAAAATGATTGCATTTGAAATTAAATACTTCTTCCTGGTATTATTTTACAACTTTTATAAATCGTAAACATATCCATAATTATAGATTCGTCGTCACTAACCATGAATATAAGTAATGCTCAAATTGAAGATTCAGGCTTTTATCAAATGGTTTGCGACGAGTCACCCACCAAAAAATCTTTCCTGGGAGCACGGTACATTAAGATTTTAAGTAAGACTTATGAATTGTACAGAATTACAACAATTTTTTTATATAATATATAAATGCGAATCAACAAACTCACAAATGTAATAATAATTAACTATGCTATGTATAATCTTGATAGACCCTCCCACTCCGGTATACGATTTCGAATGTTTCAGCCACAACTGGATTCAAATGGAATGCCATTGGAAAATGAATGACACTTATGATCATCACGTTCTATATTACGCCGTTTATCATTATCCCGTCATCTCTGAAAAAAGGTTATATTTTATAAAAACGAAGGTATACTACAACCTTTTATGGACAACAATTCTATCCAATTTTTGCTAATATTTTGGAATAAAATAAATATACATTTATAAATTTTAATATATCGGATCGGATCTGCCCATTTTAAAATAACGGCTTGAACCCACTTATCTTTAAAAAAAACGAACGATCGGGCCTCTTTTATACATTATTAAAAAATCGATATCCAATACAGAATTATGCCCTTTCCATTAGGACAATTTTTTATATATTTTAGCCGGTGCCCATCAGACCGAGACGAAAAATATAGTGAAGGAAGTAAGAAGGTTAATTGGCGGGTAGAAGCTCCCTCTCAAACCCAGGACATCGTCAAGTATGACAAATCGTCTGTCAAAACGCTCACCCAATTTTGCAGGTTTGAGAACAAGCCTTTCCAAAATATCCACGGACCATCCAACGATCATGAAATACGCTTTTTCCCGGATTGGACTTATTACTTTACCATTAAATCATACAATGAGATCGGGTTCATCCTTCAAAATTTTACAGTTACACCGAAAGGTTTGTAAAGCTTTGAATACTCATGTTTAGGGGCTGGAAAAAATCAAAAGACAAGGCGCGGTTTTGTTTTTGAGTTCTGCAGTATAATATTTTATTTTTGAATACGAATTTTTGGTTTTAAATTATTCAACAATATAACTGAGAAACCTGCTAAAATTTTGAATTTTTCCCGGCCTGGATTTTTAAAATTATAAAGGTCTTTGATATAATAATTTTTTTTGTTTTTAAAATTCAATTTTTTTAAAATATTTATGTCTCTCTTACTTTTAATATTGCTTTATGATGAACAGATATAGTTAAGCCTGACCCCCCAAGGGTGTCAGTGATCGCGAAGGAGAACAGTATAGTTATAAAAGTTACATCGGCGGTGAGTATATTTCCCGATACTTTAGCCCTACTCTTTTGCCTCAATCTAACGAGTCCTGCCCTTCCCACATTTTGGAAATTGTGGACCTTCCACTTCTCGCCTCGAAGAGATGGCTTCTTCTACGACTTTCTACGGGCAGGTCTAAACGAGACCAAGCACTTAAGTCGGAAAGAAAATGACTCGCATGCAAGATTAGATTACACCGTTTTTGCGAATATCAGTGATGGGTATAATGAAATTGCTGATCTAATCTTTAATGGATCACGCAAAATCGATCGGGCTAACATTTCTGTCTCTGCTTCTACATCCAACTCTTTATCAGGTGACAATGTTATCCTCACCCTCAACCACGACACTAACACGATCGTTATCTCCAACTTATATCCTTATCTGACCTATAATATTGAGATAAAAACAAAACCCATTCAAAATGGTTATTATAGTGATCCCAACACATTCTCTGTACGGACACTTCAAGATGGTAAGTACAATCACCATCCTAGCACTAAGTCTTTTACTTCTAATATCTGTTTTTTGGATAACAAAAATTTGTACATTTATTTTCATATACTATTTAATAATAGTTCCTCAATATATTCCTGAAACATCTATAAGTGGATTCGAACTTACAAGAATTTACACCGAAAACAACAATAAATTGACCCTTTACTGGAAGGTATATAATTAGTTTTTTAAATCTGTTTAAACTTACTCTTCAGTTTAAAAAAAATCATTATTTTTATAACTTAAAGTCCCATTTTTAAATGACTTTATTTCTATTAACTATAATAATTATATATTGTGTTTTAATATAAGGACCAGCAATATATATATTTGTTTTATAATAAGGTAAAAATTGCATATGTATATATATATACTGAAAGGTTAAAAAATTTATTATATAATATTCAAATATATCAATTTGAAATAATAATGCGAAAACTAAAATGATCCTGAACATAAGATATTATATAAATATTTAAATAAAGATATGTAGTTATGTCATATTTCATTCTATAAGTTTTTTAGATATTGCAAATCTCAAATTATTAATAGAACTATTCAAAATCTAATAGTTCAATATTCGACTCGTTTTATATTGGTTCGACTAATAAAATATACTATAGGATTCGAATGATTCGTTTTTTAAAATGTTATAAAATAATTTATATGAAAATATATTGACATATTCTGACTATTATTTTTAAATATTATATTCTTCACCTAATGTCAAATTTAAAGAGTGTTAGATTTATTTATTAAGAGTTTTAATTTTTTTTAAACTTCTCAACAAATCAATTTATGGCAACTCTTTTTATTCAGGTGTGTATAGAACCTTTTATAATGTTTGATAATAGTCTATATTGCTCTTCATTTTAAACTTTTGCAATGGTTTAAGCGCCTTTTGACTACTTGATACTGTATTCATAATGTTCCCAAATTGCCTATCTTTTTGTAGGATATTTTTATTAAATTGATGAAGGCGAATTATTTCATCAGGAGTTATTATAGTAAATTTATTAAAAAAATGTTAAAGCCTTTTAAGGTTTTGAGGTATTGAATTTTAATAAAATCAATAAAGAAAAAAAGCGGGTAATATGAAGTTTTAAAATGGCAAAAGGAACAGAGTTCTCCAAGGCGCAGGCCTTTAAAAAAATTTGTATAAGTTGCTTGGTTCGACCGCTAATTTTTTTTGTTATTTTCTAAAAAATATTGCCCTAAGTCCGGTCCAAAATTTTCTAAAATATAAAAAATATAGCCAAAAGTTCGGCATGGCCCAAAATTTGCAAAGAGGATCCATCTGGATCGTTAATAATTTACTAAAAGTTCGCCACAGTTCAAATTTTTCATCCATCAGATTTATAATATCGATTCTATACTATAATATAATAATATCTAATTTTTTTTTCTCAATGTCAATTAAGGTTCTTCTTATATCATATCTCTCCTGGGTAGTTATCTTTTTCTGTAACAACCGTTTTATAAATCATTGTGTTTGGTATCTCTAGCATTTGCTATTGGATCACATCATAAATAACTTATTTTTTAATTTCTTGTTAATTAACTGTTATTTATAAAATTAATATTTTAGTTAAACAGCTCTTAAAATACACATAAATAAGCATATTATAATATTTTTTTAAATAGTATTACATAATCAAAATATTAACTTGAAATTCAAAGTAATATATCAAAAAATGTCCGGGCTGCCATAAAAATTTACGAAATGGTCATCCTGGCCTATAATTTTTTTTATAAAATAGGGAATAAAATTATATGAAATTATTTTTATTATATAAAAATATAGAATGAAATTATGTTCAATTATCATACCATCCTTCATCATATATAATGATAGACTATTTATCTCCATAGTTTTTAATTTTTTTATATAACATTATATTAATATTTTTAACTTTTTGGATATGTTTTAATATAAAAATAAGGAGTGGGGGAGTGGAAGGGGAATTTTAAAATAATCTGTTTGAATTGAATATCATTTTTATTTTATTAACTTTTTGCCATTATAAAATAATCCTATAATTAGAAAATGTGTATAAAGATTTTATGAAATCTCAGTTTGAATTTTTTTTATCTAATTACCCAGCCCGAATTTTTTTTATGTACGAATTGCCCTGCCCAGCCCGTTATAAATTTTACCTACCCGCCTCTTTATAATATTTTCCCTGCAGAGCCCGTTTTAATTTATTTAAAACTCCTTTCGGCCGATCGGCCAGACCTGATCTTGTAGAACTCTGGTAAGGATACTAAGAAAGTAAACTCCATTGTTTCATACATACATCGAATAATTGTTTATTCCTCTATTTGAGCAGAACTAATAATTCTCGAATCGTTTCTTTTTTGAGTAGGCCTAGTTATGAATCATTAATTATGTTTAACAATTACCTTTTCAATTTCAACGCTATAATATAATACTAATGAAATATTTAAAAAGTCGGTTCCAGAAGCATATAGATTCGGTTCAAATTTTCACTACGACCTGTATGATTGGGATACGTTAGTTGCGTCCAATCTGACCAATAATTTTTATTCGTTGCAACTGCAAAGATTGGACATTAAAGCTCACAAGTTTACCATAACTTCGGGGAACACCATCGGACAAGGGCCTCATTCTGCTCCAATTCCTTTTTGCCAAAAGGATATACGTTTATCTCTTCTATTTTAATATATTTGTAAAACCTATTTATTGGTTATTATAATTTATTCATTAGAGTAGGCCTAGGAAAATTAAAAAAAGATATCTTTTTTTTTAAATTTCAAATTCATTTTAAGTTTCAATTACATAAAAATGTTTTTGTGTAATTTTTAAAGAAATTTTAATTTTATTATAAAACCTTAGTAATTTAAATTTATGCTTGTGAGTCGAATATATAAAATACAAAATTTTTTATTTATAAATATTAATAAAATTATTCAATTTTAATTAGAAAATTATTGTTTATAATGTTTTAAATATATAATAATTAATGATTGAATTTTACATTAAATTTTTTATAGTGCCAAACCCTCAAAACGTCAGAATAATTCATTACTCACAAACAGCATATAGCATAGCATGGAATAATGCTAAATCTACCAACCTCATTGGCTCTTACACGGTTTTTACTATTTTTTTGATTGATATTTATCAAATCATTACCTTTAAATAAGAGAAGTCTAATTATTTACAATTTTATAACATTAAACTTTTTTGAAAAACTTATATTTTTATATAAAATAAAAAAAATGATAGATATATTGGTGTAAAATTCATCAATACATTCCTTACACTTGTGGTCCGGACATAAAATGGGTCAGATTGGATAGGAATGATACTCGAATTTTGATGATACTATCGCAGCTGATCCCATTGAATGATTTCCGACAAATTATGACCTTTAATCTCACTCTTGATACCAATTTCCTTGCGGGGGTTGCTTTCGAACCCAAACACTCCAGCTTCTCATCTCAGGGCATCGTGTGGGGCTTGTGCGTGCTCAAATATTCTCAAGGTAACACTCAGTTTCATATATTTTATTTCCTCTTTATAACTTATATATATAGAACCCAAATCTCCGAAATTGAATAGCGAGAGTTGGACAGCCATCTCTTCTCGTATTTTAAGAGTGGAATGGTGGAAAGAGACGTGCCAGTCCGAAGGTGGTCCCGTGGCCACCTACACGCTCTCGTATGCACCTGAACATTCACCAAATCAAATTACCGTTATAGCGGGTATCCCTTACGCCAATGCCACATTCGCCGTTTTGTCAAATCTCACTCCTCACACCACTTACCTCATATGGATGAGATCCGTCTCGATAGCCGGAAAAACTAGTGCAAATACAAACAATATACAGGCTACTACCCTTCAAGATGGTATATATAGAGATAATGATGAAAAATCATCTAATTTGAGCCGATTTTTAAAAACAACTAACTCGCCAGAAAAATATTGCCTAAGCCAGTAGATTTCGCTATTATATCTCCAAACCTTTTTACTATCTATGTGCAAAATCTTCAGGCTTGCGTAATATTTTTCTGGATAAAATATTGAGTTAGCCGTTTTTAAAAATTGCCTCAAATGGAGCGGTTTTGCATCACTATATATAGATATAGTAATAAGTATTTCCGGGGGTATATATTTGTAACTCTTGAACATATTTATTAGATGCAAGGAGATAATGGCTCTCCGATAAACTTTGAATTTGTTTTAGACCCATACCCATCTCGCTACATTTGCCATATTTTCTCTAACTCAACCATCGTTATTTTGTCCTCAGTCCGTTTGTCATTCTATTTTTAACCATATGTTATGGCCTGCAAACATCTGAATAAATGTATCCTTTATTTTTATGGGGCACATGTCTATGGGCTAAGATGGAAGCCAACTCATGCAACTTTTTCCAACCACATCTAATTCTTGAGATCATAGCAAGATCAGTATTACCTAGGGTATTAAGCATATTGCCTAAGTTCCAGGCTTAATTATTTTGGTGCTGCAGTGAATATATTTTTCACTGGGTAATGATATTATTTTGCTGAAAACACCTGGCGGGTAAGGTTGATACCTGGTTAGCAAAAATCATGATTTTTTATAAAAAAATTTTTTAAAATCTAGTTTTTCGGTTAAATCACAATTTTTGTTTTATTTTAAAATTAAGGGTGTGCCGATACCACTTTTTGGAGGCCGATCCGATATTCCTGATATTATATTGATATCGGCCGATTACCCATCCGATATCATCTAATTTTTTATTCTGTAAAGATACCAATAGTTTTAATTTTTAATATACTTTTTATTAGTATAACATCTATAATTTAACCATACCATAACATGTCATTTAAATATATTATAATGATCAGTTATGGTTTGTATTCAATTCAATTGCAATAAAATATTTTTATTAAAAAATCACTTATTTATATAATAAGTAATAACATTAATCTATTTACATAATAAGTAATAAACAAATATATTATAAAATTTGAAATAAATATTTATATTAATATATCGAAGATTTCTTTTTAAAAATAGCAAAATTTCCAATTTATTAGAGGTCAGTCTTAGGTGATGGGGACTATATCACTAATTAACTAAAAACAGATTCTGAAGAGATTATTGTACACTTTTATTAACAGAATGCAAAAAAATAACAATATGGCAGAATGTTTACTAACTAATTATTACTATTAAATAAATTAAACATAAATATGGATTTCGATTTTATTTATAAAAATTAATGGTTTTTAGATATAACTTTTTTTAAAAATTTTATAATATTTTGTTTTTGTTAAAAACACCATTTTGTATCTGATCGGATCGGAAAATTTTATAATATTTGCCGATAACCGATATTTTAAAATGGGTGATCCGATATAAAATATCGGTACATCCCTAATTAAAATATATGCTCTGGAGGATATAGTTATTAATTAAAAACACTCATTCATTTTATTACAATTTAGCATCTGTTTTCCTAAGAAATTTATGAAATGTTAAACAATATTGAATTGATTAAAGTGTATTTTATCATATATATAATTAAATTATCAATATTAGTTTTGCCTATTTGTATTAATTTTATACTTTATAAGTATAAAATTTATAAAGAATTTTTTTAAATTATTATATTAGTTAATATTTTTATATAAAATAGCATTAAAATTTCTATGCAAACCGCATGAACTAATCTTCATACTATCGTTTTAATCGTGATTCAAAGCGCGATTTAAATTAACTTAGACCTACTTTAATCATGCTGATCCAGCCTGAATCTCTGAACATTCTTTATGAATCTAGTTTTTACATAAATGATACTGAATATAATTCCCCTCAACATTTTTGGAACAAGTTCCACATGGTCGGGGCATACTGTATATTTGGTTCTATTATTAATCATTTGTTTTGTTTCTTAAGAACTAATTCTTAGACCCTTTGCTTCTAGGGTGTATCCATTGGGCTACTTTTAGCAACTCTGTTTGATTCGACACTATTAGCAATTATTATTTTATATAATAATAAAATGTAAATTTATATTTATTTAAATAAATTAAATGTATAGTGCCTGAAGACCCCTGTTCTAATATCAGAATAGCTTTTAAAAACGAGTCATTTATCAAATTTACTTGGAATGGACCCTTAATTAAAAATGGAATTATAGTAGTTTACAGAATTAACTTAAGCAGCCTCTCTATCATCGATATCGAAAGCGATTATGATAAAAGTATAATTCCCTATAATATTTATCAAAAAAAATTATTTTAAATTGCTTTTGTCATAATTGTGTTATATGTATAAAAATTATGTAGATTTAACCAAAACTAAATCGTTATCCACGATAATAAAACGTAAAACATCAAATAGAAGGATTCAAAAATTTGAGACACCTTTCAATTACTTCATTTACAGAAGCTTGGATTGGATTGGTGATCAGAGGTATTTCATCACCGTGTCTGCTTGCAACAGTGTTGGATGCTCACCCCCTAACACTCCATTCATCTTTGACACCCCTATTAAAGGTTTTTTTTATTAAATATAAACGTAAACAAAATTCTTTTTTTTATAAGCTTCATCTTCGCAGGCAATCTAAAAAAATGTTTTTTTTATTAATGCGCATATTTGCTAAAACACTCTCATCTGTTTATATTGTTTACAGATTTTTCCAAAATTAAATGCGCTAATATGCGTATTTTTAAATGCTAGCGAAAACATAGCTTATAAGATAAATTGATAAGATGCCACTATATTTCACTCCTATTCTGGACTCCATTTTTTCTCTTCCTGACCGAATCCGATACCGGATTTAAACTTTGAAAGTATAAATTTTTTTTTATTGACTATATTTTATTTATAATATTGATTTGCGAAAATGTAATAAATGATATAAGAAATAATATTACAAAAATTAATGTTTTAAAAGTTCTTGTTTTTTTCAAAAAAATATCATTTCAAATTTCTCTGACAGAAGTCGCCTTCAACCATTACTGTTATTAAAACATAATTTCCAAGAACAAAGATTTTGAGGGAACAATTTTAGGATGGATGTATAAATATTTGCCTGAAAATATAGAATTGGGAATGTGTGGTTTTTTCTTCTTTTTCAATAAGTGAGGAGCTATCAGTCTTAAAAATTTTACTAAATAGGGGGGGGGGATATGGATTTAAAAAAATAATAGATTTACAGTAAATCATGAATTCCTGATTTTATGACAACCAACCATTATATTATGAGCTATCTTAAAGAGGATAAATCTTAATGGATAATTGTTCTGGGATTATTATTTATTTCATAATTAAAATATAACGCACCCCCTCCCCTTGTAGTAAAATTTCCTAGAAACTAAAGATATATTTTATTTATGGTATGTTGACTACGTATTCCTTTATCTAAATAGTTAAATGAAGATATAAACCTTAATCTTTAAAATCTTCTAGTGGGTCACTTTCGGATTCGTCTGGCATATCTCTAGTTATTCATAACCCATCTTACAAATTATTTTGATATAGAACCTTCCAAGATGGAGATACCTCAATACACTCTCCTCAATCGTACGCACATCACTCTGAAATGGAAAACGCCCCAATTTTCCAATGGACCTTTAGCTCGCTTCGATATATTGGTACAATACTATTAAGAAGAAAGAAATAATAAGAATGAACTCTTGGTCTTTGGTATATTACTCGTTTTCTTTTTCCAATTATGGAAGACTGAAAAATAATTACACCAAAAAAAAATTTTTTTTGTATACTTGTTAATTAATGTTTTGTTTATCAGACTTATATTTCGGTATATATTTCCTTAAATTTTTACATTTAAATTTGTTTTGAAACTGAGGGTTTAATATTCGAAGAACACCATGGGTGGTAGTTTTGATTAGAACTTGAATATTTTTTTGTGATTTTTTAGGTATTCAAATTACAAAATAAAATTTTGGCATTTTTGATAAAATTCAATAAAAAATCTCTCTAATTTTATCGGATATAATGTTCGAAGCGAAGTACAAAATTCCCTCGGTCAAAACATTAGTTTTTAAAAGTTTTAATAAATATTGGCTTGATTAATACGATAAAGATAAATAATACTTTAATAAATAATTTTCCTAAAATTTTTATAAAACTAGCATTTAATGTCAGGGTTTAGACCGTTATGAACCATAACCAAATCATTATAAAAATTTACAAAAAGAGCAAACAAAGCTGTTAAAAATATTTCGAATCTGTTGAAACCGGTTCATAATGCTTTATATTTATTTTAAATTATTGGCCTAAATTTAAATTCTTTAATTTTATATATTTTTAGTTATTAAATCATTAGTCTAAATTTTAATTTATTTATGTTATATATTTTGAATTTTCCTTGCAAGAATATTATGGCAATAATTTATAAACCAGAGATACTTTGGTACTAACACTATATCGGCCCATGCCACCGATACCCAATACCGATTTCAAAAATAACAATGTAGCAATACTTATTGAAAAAAAGCAAAGAATAATTTATCAATACTATCATTTCTTATTTATTTGTAATTTATAATTTCTTAGAGAAAAATGAAATAGGAAATAAAGCTTAATCACCTTCTTTCTTTTTTTCAATCAGTATATGACATTCATAGCCATAATGTTCATTAAATTTTTTTAAGATGAATTATCATTTTTGAGTATCCATCAACTGGTATCGGTGAAAATTTAAGGTGTCGGCTAATACTGATATCATAAGTATTGATATTGGTGCATCTCTGAAAATATTGTATTTACACGTGTTTGTTTGTTCTTCTTATTCAAATATGACATATAATATAATATAAAAAGTTTAACTTTTTATCTAATGTTTATGTTTATTAAATCTTACTTAATCATTATCTATTAGTGGTTAAATTGAATATGAAATTAATTACAAAAATATTAAAAAATTTTCCCCTAAGATTTCATTTTTTTAAAGCTAACTTTATGAACCAAAAAACCCGATATCGATATGAGTCCTAAGTCTAAATTGTCTCTTTCCAATATCCAATTAAATATTATCTTAATTATCAACCAGCATTCATTTTAAATATCCCTTTGCTTTTTCTAGGCTCCCTTTTACCAACCGCATCTTTATGAGCCGATTTTCGACATGCACCATAAGAAAAAATCCCGGATTTCCCCATCTACACATGTTTCTACCATTCATTACCTCTGTCTTTTCTACATAACCCTATACCTTCATACTCCATAGCTATCATCTTCAATTGACGAGTTGATCCTTTAGTTTTGCATCACTGTTTGCCATGAGTCCGATGAAAGTCCTCCACGCATTGTTCTATCCTCTGGAAAAAATAATAACGCACTCATAAGGGATTCTTGATTTAATCCTACCTTTACTTCAAAAAATTTAATATCTCTGTCCTGACTGCGGTTCATGCTCGCACTTACATTACCATCACTGCAGATACCAGCCATCTGTCTACACCTGAATTTTTCAAGGCCAATCTAGTAACTTCGCACAGCGCCATCTAAAAATGCATAATATAGCACATGTCTTTTCCTTCATTTTATATTTTTCTGTATTTCTTTAAATAAAATTTCATAGGTAAAGTTTAATTGAAATTTAAGACTCACAATCTAAAGGATCTCATCTTTCTTCCCCAATCCTAAGGATTAGTTCCCAACTAATAGATTGCATAACCTCGTAAGTCAATCAATTCCCAAGTCTTCAGATCACAATTTTTTCTTCCATAATTTCAGACACCTACACTTAACACCCTTTCTCCTTTTCGTCATCTGCTTTGTAATCCATAACATATTTTTGCTCCCTTCCACCTACTCTGATTTTCAAACCCCTGCCTCTCATGTTTTTGCTATTAATTTCTTGGTATTTCGCCTTATTTCTTTGTATATCTATCCATTTACTTTCACCTTATTTTATAACACCTCTTCATTTTCTCAACCATAGATTTATTACCTTCAAATATCATCACCATCTTGGGCTTAGGCAGCCTTTTGTCCATCCACAGACGTCCCCATTGTTTTCAACCTGGTTTTCTTCATATCTTCCCACTTGTATTTACACATTATGCTAGCCAATTTTAGACTCTTATCACCAATATTCCATTAAATTTACGTCTACCACTCTCCTACAATTTTTAAACCTTCAGTCTACACAAATTGTGATACTCACGCCTTTAACAACAAGATTCCATCAGTGCAATCCTCATGCCAACCCTAATAAATAGTATCGATGTATTAAATTATAATTGTTCCTATTGAATGAATTTAAAACAAAAACCTATTTGGAATCTATATAGATATCGGTTATGATTTAGTTCGAATTTTTAGTATGTTTTAGCGCTTCAACTCTATTGGTAGATAATTCAAAGAAATTATTGGCAAAATTTATGGATTTTAATATTTAAAATAGCATGTATCAGTCAATAATCTTAGAATACTTTACCTAATCGATGATGATTTTAAAATTATCAGAATTTCTACGCAGAACACGTTTTATGTTTTAAATTGCCAGTTTAATTTGAATATTAAGGAATATAATATATTTCTTACTTTATTATTTTTTATTTAATCGTAAAAATTTTGAATTAACAATGAAAAAAGATAGAAAGAAAGTTACGAAACAAAACAAATATTAAAACAATTCTATTATTCTGTATTATATTTAATAAGCTTGAGCTCATTTTTTAAAATATATCAAGTATACTTTTAAAATCTGACATAGCGAGGTTGAAGGGGCTAGGGGAATGCCGATTTTCTGTTGGCGATAGGAACAGAGGGGAACTTTCGGTCGATAACCATCCCCTTTCATATAGATGGTTGGCCATCTCGGCTGAAAGTCGGACTAGGGCGAAGTCCTGATTATTAATAAGTTTCAAAAACATATAATTTGGCAAAATATTTAATCAAAACGGCTTAAATATGTTAAACAAGTGGTTCATTTGATTTTTTAGTTAATTGCCTTTATAAATAACATTAATATTGTTAAGGTGATGAAAGAATTAAAAGGCGTAGTGAATCGTTCGTTAGATAAAGTGATTCCAGTGTATATATCGAATAGCTCTTTATCTTATTTCAATTATAATTTATCGGTGGATTGTTTTGATACTGCGTGGCAAGTAGGTTCGGAGACGCCCTACAAAAGGAAGGACGATCTCAAGTATTACGTAGCCATTCGAGCCATCAACTATGATCCATTCAACCAAGTCTACAGAACGGGACCTTTCTCTCATTACAAATTGATCTCTAACGCTTGCTATGAAAGTAGCTCACTTTTTATTTTGTAACCTCTTTTTTATGCATGTTTTTGAGTTTGATGCAATTCTAAATCCCAACGAAATTTCCCTATCCACTGCAGAAAATAATAAGAAAAACAAATATTATTTATTTTTATATAATATTCTTTTCAATTATAACCCAAAACTTGGTAATCTCAATCATGTTGCCCTTACATATAATAAGAGCAGTTAACTGTCACAATTTAGGGTATACATTTAACAAATTTTTATAGTTACCCATTGTTTAAAAAAAGATCAGTTGACTACCCTATAAACAAATATGATGTGGAAAAACTTTCCCAACTTTAACTTGTGGGAACCACCGGAAGAACTTAGGCTTTATCATCATAATTCTTGAGGTGTTCCAAAATTATATTTGAAGCCTTAGTATTTTTTTTGTGTTTACATCAAATGATATTTTCAAATTTTTTTGAAGACTAGATTTATTTAAAGTTTTATTGTTGTAGCTTCCTAAGGTGACCATATACTGTTTTGAGATATTTGAAATATAAAAAAATACACTATTTTATAAAAAATATTATACATTTTCTATATCCTTTGAACCAAATACAACAAAATTTATTCATCAGTCTCCTTTTAATGATTTTTATTATAAGAACGATAGACGCTAAATATTTAATAGTTTTTTTTGGATAAGAATAGCAACGGGAGAGTTACAGAAATTTACAACCGTTAGTATAATAATATTTCATTTCAACATTAAAAAAAGCTTTGTGTAAAACTTTATCACCTATTCATTTACCAATCTACAGTTTATTTTAATGTTTGGTTAACAGTTGTTTTTTAAAATTGAAAACTCTTTTAACTAGGGGTATACCTATTTTTAATTTTTGGAAGGTAATTAGGAGGCCGATCCGATATTCCTGATATTAAATTGATATAGGCCGATTACCCATCCGATATCATTGTATTCTGTAAAGATACCAATGGTTTTAATTTTTAATATACTTTTTATTAGTATAACATCTAAAATCTAACTATACCATAATTTATGTCATTTAAATATATTATAAGAATCAGTTATAGTTTATATTCAATTCAATTGCAATTCTAAAAGTATATAAAATATTTTTATTGTTAAATTACTTTTATGTAATAAGTAATAACATTAATTTATATACATAATAAGTAATAAACAAATATAATATGAAATTTGAAATAAATATTTAACATTAATATATCGAAGATTTCTTTTTAGAAATACCAAAATTTCCAATTTATCAGAGATCAGCTTGCGACGATGGCAACTGTCAATATCACCAGCTTCTCTAAAAACAGATTCTGAAGAGATCATCGCACAATTTTATAAACAGAATGCGCAAAACAATATGGCAGAATGTTTATTAATTAATTATTATTATTAAAAAAATAAACATAAAAATGGATTTCGATTTTATATATAAAAATAAATGATTTTAGATATAACTTTTTTTTAAAAATTTATAACATTTTATTTTTGTTAAAAACGCCATTTTTTATCGGATCGGAAAATTTTACAATATTGGCCCATAACCGATATTTTAAAATGGGTGAAATATCTGTCCGATCCGATAAAAAAATATCGGTACATCCCTACTTTTTAGTTTTTCTTTTAGACTGATGATAGAATTATTGAATAGTATTGTTTTAAATTTGTGACATTGCCAATTTAAATTCGAATAAAAAAACAATCACGGAACGTCTATGAGCGGAAAGGGATATTGGGTAGCAAACCCGTACAACAAAATAAATTTTAAAAATCAATAAATACAATTTTTAGGGAAAATAGAATATCCAGATCCATCTCTTGAAAGGAAAAGGAAAAAAATTATCAAGATAAGCCATGTCGCAAGTTCATAATCTTGAGATTCAACGCGAATTCTGTGCACTCAAAAATACAATTCTGCTTTTTATAATAAAAGTTTTTAAAAAAGGAAGATCCTTCAATATTAAAATATTTATTTAGTTTCCTCCATAGGGGATACTAATTAAAAATATTTTAATTATGTAAAATGCTTCTAAATGACCCGCAAAACAAAAAATGAACATTAAAAGCTTTTTAGAAGAGATTAAGGTTCAGAAGAGTTAAGGAGTTATTGCGGTTGTTATTGACAACTGCATCGAGGAATTGCAAGCTTACCTGAACGAACCACTTTTATCTCATGATATTTTATTGCAGTCGAGAGCAAACAGAACGGCCTTGTTTTTCAGTTAATATTTAAAAATAAAGATTATTTAGCTATTCAGTAAACATCGTTCCGTATGAACTGCTATTTTCAAAGGCTGGCTATTGTTAATAAATGATTCAAGCTATTATGTATAAATAAAAATAGAGTATCCAAAGAAGAAATACTGCAGCTTAATTGTTGATATCAATTTAATTTTTATTTTCAAATTCAATAATAAAAAATAAAACTATTTTTAAAAAAAAAACTATTTTAAAAAAATAACTATTTAGGTTAAATCGGTGGGGCTTAATGACCCAAATTTCTTTTATTATTGAATTCTATATTTAAACAAATAATATGACAAAAAATATTTAAAATGTTTTAATATAAATTTAAAAATCTTTCGAAGAAAATTTGTTCCAATTTCCATCCACTCTATAAATTAATATCGATTTTGTTAAACGGCTATCCCAATATTATAGCCAAAAGATATTACACTAAATTTTGGCTCATAGGCAGAAAGTTTGGACTATTAAAGAAATCTCGAGACCTGGGTAATATTATTTTGACTGAAATTTTAATTTGAAATCTGCTAAATCGAGCTATTTAACAACACTATAGTACCCGTCTGAATTTGCTCTGCACGGTGTTTTTCACTAGCCGTATCTGTTCAAAATAATATAAAGTGTTCGAAGTTATCTGTTTTGTCCTGCTTTCTTGAAAGTAGTCATAAGTTGCCATCTTGCGATAAAATAATTTCTTTAATTCTCTTTTATATACATAATATTCTTAATATGTTTAAATCAAGTATATTCGTTAGTTGGCAACGAATCGGACATAATAATTGGAAGCGGAAGCTATATGCGCAAATTATACGTGATTGTAGGATCTCTCATGTGCACGATCCTAATACTCTTTCTCCTATACTTTTCCATCAATCTAAAAAGGTTCATATATATTATTATAATGATTAAAATTATTGGGTGGAGAATATTATTTCGGCCTAAACACTTGTATTACTAAACTTTTAAAAGGTTTTTAAATTATATAGTTTTCTCTTCATATTAATTCAATTAAATGCCTAAATATGTTAGTTTAACACTTACCATAAACAACAACCTCCCTATGTGTGTTATTTATGAAGAACAGAATTTTATAGATACTACTACCTATATATTTTTACCTATTAAAGAAAATAGGTCTAATGTCTGCAAAAAACCCGATTTTTAAAAAGTTATTTTGAAATTTTTTTTAGATTGAATCAAACCTTCAAAATACATAATATATTTGCCTTTAATATTCCGACTGAATAGTAATAAATATGAATACTAAATTATTTGATTTGTTCAAATACGGATAAACAATTAATACGATATTCGGATAATTAGTTTTTAAATATCAATAAAAATGTATATTTAATTATTTTGATTATTTAACGCTACCGAATTTTCAAAATTTAAGCTATTTGAAATAATTTTGACTGTATTTTTTAATAAATTGTTTTAAAAGAAAATTGAAAATATGATGAGTAATTTATTGAAAATGTTTATATATTTTTAAAAATAAACTGATTGAAAAAAAGATAACAAACTAAGTTACCGAAATATATCTAAATAAGAAACATTTAATGATGAAATACTCCATAGTAATACTTGATAAGAACATATTTGCCTACAATAATGTATAAAATCAAAATAATTTATGTTCATTGATTAATTTGTGAAATTACTGAATATTGACAATTTAAGTTCAACTTTCAATGATTGCGAGATTGTATTAGAAAATGAACTAATTTCTGTTTCGGAGGTGTCATCGAGGTCTTAATAAAAATTGAAGATTCACAATATTATCGCCAAATTATAATAAATAATATGAACGACTGATTGAAATTATTAATCTTTTTTCATAAATTTATAAATTAAATAAGAAAATTTGTTATGAATATAACTATAATTACTAAATACATGCTAATTAATTGTAATTACTTCCTTTTTTAAAGGGGAATTAGAAATTACTTATGGATACTAATTGCATAAGAAGGAATTGTAATTAATTAATTATCTGCAATGAATACTACTTTAAATTCGATTATCTTATTTAAAAAAATAGTGCAGACCTCACCCTAACACTCAAACGATGGTATCCTTTATATTTAAAATAAAAATATGAAACCTAGACTTGATGGGTGATGGGCATCACGCATTTTATAATAATTTAAATGAAAAAACACTAAATTGTAGAAGTTACTATCGAGGAATACCTTATTAAATAGATGTATGCAAATTTTATAAACGAATTTACCCAGTTGTCATATTTATTTGTCAATAAATTTTTAATAATACATTCTCATCAAATTGAACTGTATATAATAATTGAATTTATATATTTTTTAAATTAAATATTTAGAGAAAAGTTATTGATCTGGATGAGGAATATGGAATTAAAAGCAACGCTTCCTTGGGACGAAGCCGAATTTCAAAAGTATTACTATTACGGAATCACGAATTCGAACAGTCAGGCACTTAAACAAGCTAGAACTAATGCTCACGGGGGTGATTCCGACCCTGAAACACTTCAAGTCATTTCAAATATTGATTTGGTAAAATAATATGAATTATAAGCTTTTTTAATAATTTTATTAATTTTATTAGAGACCTGCAGACCCGGTTAAAGGTGGGATCTCACAATCAATTTTTTTATAAAGTCGGGCTCCAAAAATAATAAAATTGCAAACCATTGCCAAGACTAAAATAAAAAAATCGGGCCGTAAAATGTTCATTTAAAAAAATCCTTATCAGAAAATGGAATAGATAAACGATATCTCTGCAGGTCTTTTCATTAAATTTAAATAATAAAAATTTAACCAAAATTTATTTTTAAATAATTTATAAAAAAAATTATAAATTTATTGATAGATATATTTAATCCTCATTTCCTTAGCAAAATGAATTCTATTATTTTACACTAAAAACTGTGTTACTCTACTCAAAGTATATTATGAATAGTGAAAAAGAAGCGGAACAAGCCTTAAATACATTTTCTCCCACTCAATCCGAAACATTATTTTCTCCTTCCTTCGTCCAAATCACTCCATTTTCTGACCATTCGAATAAAAGGTTTCAATTATATTTTTTTCATAACTGGCTATATTGCTTATATTTATAAGTCTAAGTGAGCTAGTGTCATTGGCTTATTTAACCCATTAAAGGTCAAAGTACCATGATTATTATTTATTGATTTTTCACATATTAATTTTTTTGAATTGAAATGATTTCATATATGGTTCTTAACGGAGGTCTGTAATTGGCAAAATTTTCAGTCTTGGCCCTGTAATTTAGTTAATACCAACCCAGTTTCAATTTTTTACTAATGTTGACTGGCCCTGTTTTCAATTTTTTTTAAAAATATAATGTCTAAAAGAAAATGTATGCTGAACGCTAAAATAAACAACTATTTATAATCTTTCGCGCAATTTATTTTCGCAAATTTTTATAATCAATATAAACAGACGTGAGTGTCAGCAAATATTCGCGCATATTATTACGTGCAAAATTATTTTAACAAAGTGTACCTATTCGCGCACTATTTTTATTGCCTGCGAGGACAAAGGCTTCGAAATATCAGATTTCATCAAATATTTATGCAAAAAAAAATTTGCTCGGCACAACCCGTTTATTTTTTTTGTCTTGTCCGTCAAAATTTCAGATAGGGCTGGCATTGAAAATCTCTGATTCTTATTGCTTGAAAATTGTAGTATAACATAAAAACATTTTTAAAAATATTTATTTTTGAGTGTGCTGGATGCCATTGAAGTTCGACAATTTGGCGAATAGAATTATACATGTTCTAGACCCCTTTTAAGAAACATTTGTTTTTTTTAGACATGAATTTATTTCTTATAGACACCTTAACCCATTCCAATTAATTTTAGCCCACCACTTTTTCTACTCACCTATTTATAATCATTTCTTTAGTGTAGTATTTATGCATCATTTACCATATAAGGGTATAAAATTTTCCATTATATTATTTTATTATATATTTTTGTTTATATTTTTAGCAAACATAAATACGATTTTTTCATCATATTTATATTATTATTTTTAAATAATATTAGAATATTATTATGGCAAAATAATTTCTAACATTTTATGAAGCCCCATCCATATTTTTCAATGGGGTTCCTAATGATGAAACCGATGTTGTAATCACACCTCCTAATGCTGGCTATAGTAATTATGAAAGATTTCGATGAAAATGGTCATACCTACACACCTTATCTTCCCCTCGATAATCCACCAAACAATAATATTGTTTTAGTCCTCAATATCGACAAATCAAGAAAACAAATTTCGAAATAATTTCAAAAGATAAAAATTGGTCCATTATATACATCTAGACCTACTGATAATGGAAAAGAATTACTATCAAATCTTCAACAAGATTTGATTGGAAAAACTCCAATAGAATAATTTTTTGATCAAGAATGTAATATATTCACTACTTAATAATTAATCAAATATTTATTCCAAACAAAATAATAGACCAAGTTTTAACACAATAAAGTCAGAAATGAAAAGTTTTATAGGAATTCTTTTGCAGACTGGATATCATTCCTTACCGCAAGATTGTATTAGTCGAATAACAATGATATTTCTAACTAATCGTTAGAAATTTTAATGATACATCATGTATTTCGCGATATTTAAATGATCTGTATTTATCTAACAACTCAACTCATGGTAAGGTGGATAATCTTTATAGAGTCCACCCATATTTTAATTTACTAAATAATTCAACAATTTGGAATATTTTTACACAATTTATGTAAAGGTGAGCATATGATACCTTATCGAAGCTGACATTCATGCAAAATGTTTATATGAATCATGGACCTTTGCTTCCTCAGGTGGAGCTTTGAATCTTGGATTAGGAGGCACGATTGTTACAAATTTACTCAAAGTTCTCCAAGTACCTTATACTTTACGATAAATATTTTGCATTTCTAAAGTCATTCTCTTCTAGAAACAATTAAGGCATGGAAAAAGGGAAAGGGGCTATTACGATTACCGATTTGGTAGGATAAATGAAATATCTGTAGTTAGATAGAATGATAATTGGTGGAACAGTTACATCAACATGCAAAGCTCTTAGCCCTTGTGTCAAGATCTCTCAAAAATAAAAATTACACAATCTAATAAATTCATATAATTTGGTTTGTTTGTAACAATTATATTGATGTAGCCTTAGTACATTCGTAAAAGTTATGGAATCGATTTAATGCTGATGACAAAAATCAGTACTTACATTTCGGCTGGGAATAACTACGACACTTGAAAACTCTCCTATAAAAGAAAATAGTGTTACAATTAGAGGACCTCTTAGTCAATTTCCCTACTAAAACTGAAAATTTTTATGAATATTATTTTACGAGTATTGATAACAAAAGACAACTGTGTAAATTTTGTCAGAGCCAGTCAAGATATATATGTATATCCCAATACATATTGATTGTTTTAGAAAATTTCATAAAATTGTGTCTAATAAATGTAAAATATATCAATATGTAATTCTATATTGGATTTCGATTTTTTCTAATAATATGTTTTATTTTTATACCCCTAATGGTCAACGTTCCAGTTATACAACGGTTTAGATGATTTTTTTATGTTTTCTTATTTAGACTAAAATAAATTTAAAAAATCAAGAATTTTTATCGGCTGAAAAGTCCATTAATGGGTTGAGGGAGAGTGATTCGGACATTTTACCCCCCCCCCCTTTCCCAAAATATATTTTTATTTTATAATAGGATTAAACATATTATCTGAACTAAAAAACTTGAAATCATGAGTTAAAAAAATTTAAGAAAGAAAATAAATCTATTTTACAACTATTTTATTTTGTAATTCTTTTTTTCCTATATATAATTTTAAAATCATCTCAATTTAAAAAACATTTATTAAAATCTGCTATACCAAACTTTAAAATACGGGATATTAGTAATTTAGTTTCTAATTTTTTTAGAAAATTTTAACCCTCCCCCTTTTTTCCGAATTAAATTCTAGATACACCATGATTGTTATAATTTATTACGTATTAAAACGAATTAGCCAACCAAATATTGAAAATATAGACGAAAAAGAAGCGGCCACAGCAACTGAAGATTATGTGTTTGAGAGTCAAGTTAATGAATCACACTTGGGTAAAGACTCTAAGCATTATGAATTGAGTGATTATGGTTCGATGATTCCATCCGTAAACATGTCTCGTCGACCCTCCGTAGCCTACTCTCCCATGAAAAATATAGAATTCTCTCCGCATTGTTCATATGGAGGATCACTCTCTTGATATTATTAATTCGATAAAAAAAAGTTTTATAAATTAGTGTTATTATATCTGTCATTTGCAATTGCTCAATTATATTATTTATTAATTATCTGTCGATAATCGTTTACTTTATTCTATAACAAAGAAATTCGTTTTTATTTAGTTATATTATATCTTAGATCGCTGATGTATAATAATATATATAATAAGGCCGCGTCCTAGCTCAATCTAATTTTTGTTCTTAATTCTGAATAGGAAAGCAGCCTGGATACCACTTTTGGGTTTTTTTAAATTAATTTTTTTTTTTCATTTTGAAATACGTAAAGGCCTACTTATTCCTATTTTTTTAAATCTAAATATTATTATTCAGAACACCTATTTCGAATTTTAAAAAGAAAAAGAACGAGTAAAAGGATACAGCCTAAGAGTTAATTAAAAATTTTTTAATTATTATAAAATAATTATATAACGCTATGGCAATACTAAATTTAGTCATCATTTAGGTGCTATAGTTTTTATAGAGAATGTAAATATTATAATATATTCATTTCATAATAAATATTTTTATATCATATATAATAATGAATCAGGGCATCCACGCTTTATTAGTGTATCATAATTTTTCATTTATAATATATTAAAATAAAATCATTATAATATTTATATTATATGGAATTGATGGACATTTTAGTTTGAGGTCGATTATCTTTATTTTTCCCAAATGTCATTTTTGTATTGAAAATGGTAGAATTATTAGCTTGACAATCCAACTGTGGGCAACACTCGGGATGCATTGCGTCATCTTTTCTAACGATTTTACATTTTGAATTCTTGCTCAAACCTATCATTCCACATCTACCATTCAAAGTTAAATAAAATGTCTCAAATTCAAATGTATGTTAATTATTAACGACAACTTATATTATTATATATAAAACATTATATTATATCATATGTTATTATTAAAGGATGTTAAATGACAGCCATCTATGTTGTAATGTAAAATATAATATTTGCTATAATTATGTCCAAATAATATAAGAAAGTGGTTTACAAATAAATTAAAAAAGCATAAAATTTTATCCATTTATATAATTAGGAAGCTTATACCAAAGGTGTTGAGCCGATAACTATAACGGTTATGTTTCATTTCCGTTCTTAGTTTGAAATTTTAAAACGGCTTAGTTACATCCCAGTTATTTTTAAATAAATATTTCGGTTTCTAGTTTTTATACGTTTTGGATTTTTTAAATTAATCATTTATATTCTTTTATTGATACCAAATATTTTAAAAACAAAAACTAAAGGAAAAAAAGGTTGAATTTCATTCTTTTATTATAAAACATGTAACAAATTAAGTAATTATATTATATAACCTTAACCACATATAAATTTGATTAATTTTTTAAAAATATTTTAAATTTCAAAAATCATTTAGAATAAATAAATGAAATTTGTTACACATCTTCAAAAGTCCTAGTTATAAAATTAAGTAGTTTATAGCTTATAGAAGTTGTGCAATAACGATTTATATAATCGATATTAGTGAACTGCATCGAACCCAATTTTTCAGGCCCGGCCCGAATTTTTTTTAAAATATTGTGCCCAACTCGAACCAAAATCATTTTTTAAATTTAAGCCAGGATTTGCAGTTCTCTAATCGATATAATTTTGGGATAAAACAACTATGAGTAAAACGGTAAAAAGAAATTTTAAAATATCCATATAAAAATTAATTATTTTAAATATAAATAAATGGTTGTCATATAATATAGAATAAAAATTTGAAAAATAAAGGCAAAAGCAGGAATGGGAATTTTTTGATAAAAGAACGATCCTGTTCCTAGTTCAAAGCTAAAAATTTAAAAAGTTTGGTGAATATAAAGAAATACTGACTCAATATTAATAATATAATATAATTTTTATTCTACTCCATATAAACATAATTTACCAGGAAAAAAATTTAAAATATTTATCATATATATTTTAATTAAATTTAAAAATTGAATATCTAGAAATATCGGATTTTATGTTTTTGTTCCAATATTTCACTTTCTAAGATTAATATAAAAACAAGATAAGCATAGGCGTATCCATCATTTTGCTAGGGGAGGGGCACTATTAGGTGGATTTTCACCCCATAAATTTTATTGGAGATCTTTGGGTCCATTTATTATAGGCCTTTGGTTATATTAGAATTTTAATTTTGGGTTTTCACTTTTTTTAATATAATACCCTTTTCTAAAATTTTTTAATTATAATCATTATTTTAAAGTTACTAACTTCTAATTCCTTAATTTTTGGGAGAGAGGAGGGTTGAGGATGTGGGGGAATTTTTATTATCGGATGTATTTACAAGAACATCAAATTTGCGATCGGGAGATTTCCACTTCTCCCCCCCCCCCTTTGATTATGCGCTTGAGATAGGCTACATTATTATCATATTATTTATAATAGCAAAATTTTAAAAAATGCGAAGAAAATATTTAATTTTTATGAATTTTTTTGTAATTTATTATTTAAAAAATTTTTTTTTGATAACTTGAACTTTTAACTTTTAAAAAAAATATACAATGTGCCCAAAATAGTCACATTCCACATGTGCTAATTTATTTTCATGCCTTCTTTTGATTAGTTCATAATTAAAAATATTAAGTAGTACAAATTGTAATATTTCGTTTAATAAAATAATAAATTTGTGTAAAATTTTATTTTACCCTGGTCTGCGATGAAAGCATCATATTTTATATGATTAAAATTCATAAAATATTAGAGTTATAGTGCTCTTTAAATATTTTTTAGATGAATTGAGCTACACCAGATTTATAATCTGTTCTGTTCTGTTTCGCTTTGTTTTTTTATTTTTCTAGCAATATGCTAAACATTTACCATTTTACCCCGGTTTCCCTCTCCCCCATTAAAAATACAACGAATATTCGACTTGATTAATACTATTCTAAAGAATTAAAATAAAGTAAAAATATTTGGATTGCTGTAATAAATATTCGCCGGTTTTTTATAATTTAAATAAGGTTTTATTATGTTTTACCCATTGCAAAAGTAAGTGTAAGTTAGTCCTTCCTGTACACAGACACAAGACAAGCAAATTCCTTTTGGTTGGTGTATTTGCCCTGGCTGAAACAGAACGCAGTCATTGGTCATTGTAATAATGCAACCATCTTGATTTTAGCAAATATAATTTAACTATATATCTTTTAAAAAAATGTTACCGCTATCAAACGAAGATCCTATATAAGTTTCGAAGTGGCCTTTTTCGGCAAATACAAATACTATAAGCATTACGAATTGCATTTTTAAATAATTAACAACTATAAAATTTAATATATATGCAAAGTTAATGATATAAATATAAAGTTATAGCATAAACGTATCATTAAATATCGGTTATGTCATCTTTTCATTTCAAAAATATCTAGAGACTCTTTTAGACGTTCTTTCAAATATCTTAGTTTTTAACAAAATCTAATTTATCATATATACATTTTTTAAACATTCTTTGATATCCACATTAAAAATTAAACATAGTTAAAAAATAAATAAAAAGGTTAACAATCGAAATCTCATTATGATATAAGGTATAAAAAAATAAATATTTTATATAACCTTAAATTTTACACGAACTTGACCTTTCTTTATACAAATATTCAATTCCATACTTTAAAATTAAATGTTCCCTCTCCCTAAAAAACTATTATATTTTTTTATTTATATATTCGTTCTGGAATTCCTCGACAAAATAAAAGTAAATATTTTTTCCTAAATGTGAAATCCCAGTTTTTTTTTCACCATATTATTAAATAGTTTTCGGGTCTATCTTTAAAGACCTTTGGCCTGGTTGCATTTTAAAAACGAAATATTGTTTATAATGATATTCTGCTCATTTTAAAGAAGAGGGTGTCGGGGGAAAGTCAAGATAAAATTCTTTTATTAGCTTATAAAAAGTATAAATAATAATACCAGCACCTTCTTTAAATTTATTTAAGAATGTTTAACTCAAACTTCGTTCGGTTTAGATCCGGTAAATTAACCTACCGAAACTATCAATCGATAATAGATTTATTTTGTAAAAATGATAGAAAAACTTTGAATAGCTATTTTTAGTAAAAATAATTTTAAAGCGGTAATTAAGTTATTACTTATATCATTGGGGAGAAAAAACAAAGAATATTTTGAACATAATCTAATGGTTTTCATTTTTGTTGAATATTAATCATATAATGACAAAAATTCATATAAAAAGTTCATATACTTAAATATTTTGGGGTCTCGGTTCGGTATAGGTTTGAGGAAAAATAGTCCCAAATCTGGATCCGGATACTCTATCCGATCTTATTTTTTGAGCATGTCTAAATAAAAAATAGGGCTCTTTAACACCTGAATATCATTTAAGCTTAATAACCATTGATAGTTCGATTTGATTTGTATTTATAACTTCCATTTTTATTCAAATTATTTTTATCACTTATAGCTTTTTTGAACACTACCCGTTTTTTAGACCTGATCTGAGATTACGATAATTTTAAAAGAAGCTATCATGTTCCGTATACAAATTTATCAGGTAAAATTTAATCACAAATTTAAAATTAGTTTAGGGGTAAAAAAGTCAAATGTCTCTCCTGTTCATTTTCGGAACGGAACGTCTCACAAGATGCTATACCTGGGAAGGGATGAGTTTGAATAGGTTTTACTTGATGGGACGGGAGGCATACCCATTCGTCCCGTCCTAGTTTTTATGTTTTCATAATAAATTTATTTAAGATGGATGTTGTTAGCAATTAAGGAATTTACATTTGAAAGAATGACTTATCTGAGCTAGGAGAGATAGTGTATATTAAAGATATGCAAAGTCCGACCCACGGGCCAGACCTGGGAAAATTTTTAAACAAATTCAACTGACCGGACTTAATAAGAGGTTGTAATGGGCTGGGTAAATCGTAAAAGAAAATTAGGCCAGGCCGGGCAATAGGATAAAAATTTCGGGCCGAACCCAACAATTTATATATAAAAAAATCAGGCAGAGTATCGCAAAACCCTTTTTCGTAAATTTTTGAATACACCCCGGGTAATAAAATTTGATATATTTTTTTAATTTCAAGCTAATATTTTTATTTCCATTTACTATTAATAAATAAATTATATTTCGTTAACTACTTTGTATTTTAAGAGCTATTTAACTAAAATAGTAAATTAAGAAGAAATTAAATAGCACAATACAGAAACAGATATCAAACACAATGACTTATAAAACAGTTGTTGGGGAAAAAATGATATATAAATATTAAAAATGTGAAGGGCGGAAAATTCGTATAAAAAAATTAGGGCCGTGACAGACTTTTAGCAAAATTTAACGAGAAAGCATGGCCTGATATTTTTAAATATAGAGTTGGATCTGACTTTTTGAAATTTTTTAAGAAATATAACGGTCCAGGCTGGATAAATTATTTAACAAATCGGGGCTGGCAACTTGTGCAAAATTTTTTAATTGGCCGAGCCTTGCATACCTCTACTTGCTTTTTTTGCCACATAAGGATTTTATTTCAAAAAGTATATTATTTTTCAATCTAGTTAATAGCCTGGTTAAAGGAGGCCATTTGGTTTTTAAAAAAAGTTACCATGTGTTTGTTTAAAAAGGTAAACTCTGGGACTAAGCCATATTTTAGATTATGCGAAGACTTGATCCAATGTTTTGCTCTAAATGTATGATACCAATTCCACCATTTTCAAATTTGTAAAGTAAATATTATTCGTCTAAAACAAAGATATAGGATAAGGCTAGAGATATGTTCAAAAAAGATAGGGATATACTGGGTGGCTCAAAAATACATCGCGCTTTGTAATCTAAAACCCGTCACTTGGTTGTTTTGAAATTCCTTATTTTAACTACTATACCCCCCCCCCCCCTCCTCCACTCATACATACATTTCATGTTACAGGTCACTCGTTTGAAACATTTTTATCATGATATATAAATTTTTAAATGGCAAGATTAGAATTAACCTGTTAATATTAACTAAAACTAGGGCTTGATTCCACTTCAAGATTATTCTTATCTCATTTTAAAACCAATTCGATATTAGAGAAGCCCTTTTCCCCCGGTATCAGGTGATGTCAAATATATTGACCGTCCGAAGGTTCGTTTATTTGAAAAATATATGTTTCACCTCATATTTCAAGCAAATTAAAAGTATTTTTTCCAGTGTGGCTAATTTCCACCGAATGCATTTGGCAATAACAATGATCCGAAAATAAATTATTAATTCTAGGCAATATTACACAAATTAATCATTTGTAATTCATCTGTCTAAATTTACTATCATGAATAACATATAAATAATATGCTGATACTGAATAAAATTAATTAATTCTAATTCTAATATTGATTAGGTATTATTAATCTTAACAGTTCAAAACAAGTAATTTTGGCCTATTTTTTGTGATTTTCTTATTTATTTTCTTTATAATTGTATGTATGATTATTTATCTAATAAAATGTTATAATCAAATAAATATATAAACTAAATATGCAAATTTCTAAACAGACCTCCTCCATCAGTGCCCCTTAAGTGAATTTTAGTTATGAGACTGTTTGGAGATAATCTTAAAATATAGTATTATTTCTTAATTATTAAAAGAGAGATTGTGTATACTTTTCTTATTTTGATAAAAGGTATGCTTAATACTCTTGCTTCAAAAATACACAATGAAAATGGATCAAGAATATTTATTGATTGATATGGATAGAAATTTATTTGCATGTTTAACCGAAGAAAATGCGGAGATATTAAGAAGTCAAAATAGAATAATTTATTCGGCCTTTAACATGGATAAACTATGCGATGGCTTTGTTGATTGTTATGACCAAAAGGACGAAAAAGAAGGTTGCTCTAAGAAACGATTGTGGCAAATGAAAAACGAATTTAAGATTATAAATAAGATATGAATCTTCTTTGATGAACTGAATTATTTTACTATATATTTTTAAAAAATTTATTGATATTATAGTTAGATTAATAAATCTGTTTTATATGTTATAAACCAATCGCAATTATGTTTTTAGAATAATATAAACAATTTAACGTTTTTTAAAAATAAAAACGTTTTTTTAATGAAAAAAAATGAAGATATATTCATTAACTTTATATTAAAGTTTCAGATTTGGATCGATTTTTAAAAACAGCCCGATTAAAATTTTAGCCAAAATAATATTATGTGAGCCTGGAGATTTGGCTTACATAATATTATTATGTTATAAGGGTTTGTCAAGGAGATTTTATTTATTTAACAGTATCTATTTACTATATTAGCCTTCGTTAACTATGTTGCTTTTATTTGACCCTCTTTTAAATAAAAACAAACTAACTTGATCTGGGTTTTTTGCAGCTTTTGTCCTAAAAAATATTCATGCAAAATTTGATATATTTTTTATAAGCACCATTTTTAGTTAAATCATAAATTTATGAAATGCTCTGATTTCAATATGAAACAATATTTTATTTTTGTATTTAATTCATAAGAATAAATTCTGTGATTTATTTGGTGTCAAAATAAATTCTAATTAAGAAAATAATTTTGACTTGTATTATGAAAATTAATGAGATAAAAATAAAGACAAAGGTGTGCTTCTTAAAAATAAGTACATACGCAGGAATTTGCTATGGGAATAAATTTTTTTACCATTCTAGGATTATTTAAGAATATCGTAAGTTTCAGAAATTTATTAGGAAAAGTGATTAAAATATTGGCAATTATATCAAATATTAATTAATGATAACATGTATATAATCTTTAAAGGAAATGTCTTGAAAATGAACTTTGTAAAAAAATATATAAATTTTTTAAGCATTTAAAATTTAAATGATATTTAAAAAATGTTGGAAATATAGATTAATGCACAAAAATATTCTTAAGAATTATTTCATGTATATAAACTTACAAAGTATTCATGAAAATAAAAATATGGTAAATTAAAAAATAGTAAAAAGTATAATTAAGAAGCATATTATAATTCTATAATGTGAAATTCAATCTTCTTTGAAACTGAGCTAATTTTTCAATGATTTCATCAGCGCTTGGTGTCAACTCCCTATGTATATTAAGAAGACTTAAAATATTATATCCATTTTAGGGATAGTACTTCTAAGTGACAATGTTAAACAGCTTGATTAGATCCTATTTGTAAAAACGTGTAACTCAATATTTTGTCCAGAAAAATATTAAGCATGCCTGAAGATGTGGCTTATAGATGGCATAAGTTTTGATGTCTATTAGGAAATATTGAGGGTTACTGGTAAAAATTTTGTTATTCTTTTTAAAAAATCGACTCAAATCTTGCCATTTAACAACATTACATCTCAGGAATGGAGTGCTTCTAAAGCTTTCTCTTCTAAGGACCACCAACAATCGTCAATGAGGACCAACAAAAGCCAATGAATGCTAATAAACGTAATGAGTCCTAACTCGCGCCAGTAAGTGCTAATAATTGGTAACAAGCGCCAATGAATGATAAATAAAAATGCGGATTTGTTAATAAGTATAGTGATTTGGCACTCATTAGCGCTCGTTGGCTTAGTACATGTTGGATTTCATTGGCATTTTTCGGCAATCATTGACGCCAGTCGGCACTCATTGATTAGATCGAAAAATCTATAATCGAAATGACAACCAAAATATTTATAGGGGAATTGTTTATAGGCGAATTTCCGGTATATTGGAGCTCTTTAGACAAAAGGTCTATAGGGCAAATAGCCAGTACACAACTTCTCAAGTATTTATTCTTAAGAAGAAAATGCTCTTTCACTTGTAGTAATAATAATAGGCTTTTGCCAAAATATATAATTTTAATATATTAAGAAAATGCATCTATGGAATTTAACATTATCAATCACATTTAAACTTTTTATACCATTGTTTGCATTCAGCTATTAATGCATTATGGTATCATCTTCAAAAAATCTGCCAAACGTTTAATTTTTTCTCTATCAAGATTTAAAATAGATTTGGAAAGATTCTGCAGTAATAATATTTGCAGATATGTAAGTGCTGCCAGATTAATTAAGAACCTTTCATCAATTTGAGTTATAAAAGTATCCAAGAGGGTGATAGATATTTAATTAATAGTATTCTTCGACTGACCTTATATTAATATTGGAAGGATATACTTGCTTTGGTGCCAGTTGAGGTAGTCAAATTTTAACTCATAGAGGTCTGCTTTTGACTTAACAATGTCATATAATTTATGAAATTCGTCATCTATATTTGCCTCAATTTCCAATATAATCCTTCCAGTTATTCTAGTTTCAATGTTAATTTTCAAATAGTGGCTTAATTAAAAATCGCTCCAATTAGGTTATAACCTCTCAATTATGAAATTTATAAGGAGCGATTTTAAAAACACCGTGTCGTCTGATGTTTTACATAAAGGTGAAGGAGGCCTTCGATAATAATATTTAGACCCTACCTCAATTTCGTCCAACGATGTAATTATAACCCTAATTAAGCGACTATATTTAAGAATGCGAGATCTAACTAAAAAGATGCAGTTAAAAAAATCTTTCCTTCCTATTGATTCATTTTTTACTGAGATTAAATGTACTTGTGGACACTAACTCCTAATATTGCAAAATTATTATTTCCAACCCAAATCGAATAACATCTAAACTATTAAAACTTTTATTAAGAGAAAAAGGTGGTTTTCAGATGCGAGCTTTTTTAGTAGATTTTAAGTTAAATGTTAACCCTATATAGAATTAAAGCAATATCTTCACTCCAATATATAATGTTACAGGATGATGTTGGGAAAAAGAATTATTAGTACACCCATTTTAAAATATCGGTTATCGTCCAATATTATGAAATTTTTCGACCGATAAAAAATGGCGTTTTTAACAAAAATAAAATTTTTCAAAAATGTTATATCTATAAGATCATTTATTTTTATAAATAAAATCGAAATCCATTGTTATGTTTAATTTTTTTAATAATAATTAATTAATAAAAATTCTGACAAATTGTTTTTTTTGCGCATTATGTTTATAAAAGTGTGCGATAATCTCTTCAGAATTTGTTTTAGTGAAGCTGGTGATATTGGCAATTACCATCACCGCAGGCTGACCTCAGATAAATTGGAAAATTTTGGTATTTCTAAATAGAAATCTTCGATATATTAATGTTAAATATTTAAAATATTTATTTAAAATTTTATAATATATTTGTTTATTACTTATTATGTATATAGATTAATGTTATTACTTATTTATTATTTAAAAGTAATTTAACAATAAAAATATTTAATATACTTTTAAAATTGCAATTGAATTGAATATAAACTATAACTGATCATTAATGTATTTAAATGATATAAGTTATGGTATAGTTAGATTATAAATGTTATACTAATAAAAAGTATATTAAAAATTAAAACCATTGGTATCATTACAGAATACAAAATTAAATATGATATCGGATCGGTAATCGGCCGATATCAATTTGATACCGGGAATATCGGATCGGCCTCCAAAAAGTGGTATCGGTACACCCCTATATCTTATTATCTCATTTATGGAATGTTATCATAATAAATAGTGTAATTAATGAATTGTATATCTTAAATTCTTACGGAGATATATAATCTTAGATCGCTCAGCCATTCTAACAAAATATAATTCAAAAAATTCTTATCAAAGTTGAAAAAGTATCTAATTTACTATAGTACAGTGGTTATTTTTTATATGTCCCTTTATTAAATCAAAGGTAAAAAGTTTCAAATATAATAAAACACATAATGTTTCTTTTATTATAAAAAAAATTAACATAAAATATAAATATGAAAAGTTGGGGGGGGGGGGAATTAAGCAGCGATAGATGGTGTCTTGATTTTTCGCATCATAAATTCTTTATTAATAATATGGTTGGCTTTGTTGACCAAATTCATGAGGGCGTCATTATTGTGAGACCATTCATTCAAAATATCCTCGGGACTTTGATTTTTGATTTGATGAAATGTTATTATGTCTATATAAACGATATAATAAATTCTTAGCTTAATTTACAATAATACTTTTAATTCGATCCATTTTAGCGTGAATTATCTTTGACACGACCAGGTTTCTTAAAATTTCTTCACATTCCTATATTAAGGTGGGTAATTAAATATATATTAACACGTATCAAACCTCAGGTGTCATATTCAATAATTCTGACATTCTCAACAAGTTTATACGTTGATAATAAATGGACATTATCCTGATATTCTGCAATAAGTTATTATATTTAATAAAATAATAATTAATTTGCATAATATTACGTGTTCGTTAATCCTATTGATCAAGTCAACTTGCCATCTATCAAGATTCGAAAAACAAGAAGGAACCGTTCTAAAGCTCGGAGTAGCTTTTATCTCCTTTTCGAAGGTCACTAAAAAATCTTTGTAGTTAATAATTTCTTGCGTTAAAAACCACTTTATCAGTATTCTATGAATATATTTATATAATATATGCTATATTTTGGCTTTTATGCTAATAAATTAATTACAGACACCTTAAATATAGGCTTGAAATACAAATAACTATTAAATGAAATTATTAGTTGCAATTAATTTCATGACTTATTCTGGTGGTATATTCATATATAATTTATAGACAAAAAAATTAACTTGTCATTAAAAATAATAGTTCTTAATGTGCCAAATATATTATACTAGGGCTGTGAACCCAAACCTTTTATTTTATTTAGATTTCATGGCTTTTTAATATTTTTTTTCATTTAATATAAGCATGAGAGGTGTAACTAGACCAAAAATATCTGAGAGGCAGCATGTGACAACCCTAAATGGAAAAAATAATTAAAATTTTGTTTATCAAAAATGCATCGGAATTAAATTTTAAGATAAATTTTTATTTATAATAAATCAATGCATATAACGGGTTAGGCTATCAAATATAAGGCAAAATCGCCTATTTAACAAATTAATGCGCATATAACTTTAAAAAAAATAATTGAATTGATGCATCTCTGAACAATACATAAATTTATTTATTTTATAATATAAAAAGCCTAAGTTCGTAAATTGAAAAATCAAACGTGTACTGAATATAAGGCATAATAATGTAAAAATTTGTGAAAAAAAATAAAATACTTTATTTTTATATAAAATTGACTGTTAACGAAGTTATAAATATTCAAATCCAGCAGTATATGATAATCAGAGATTTAGGTTCGAATAAATTAAAAAGATCCTCTAGTTGGCATATCCCAAAGGAGTTGTTATTTTCGGTTTCAACATGGTTCAATATTAAACTTGGTTCCACGTCTGCATCTTTGAAGCAAATTTTTGTAAAATATTTTTTTAAACTCTTAAAAGTCTTATGTATTCTAATAATATATTTCCCTAATGCCCACCACTCCCTTACTCTCGTCCCCATTAACTTATTGGGGTTTTCACGGTTTTTTCTTAAAAAATATCGTCAATAACAAATTTCAATATTTTTTATACTACAAATTTACCATTTTTTCCTATAAAGTAAAAATATTTTCGCTTTCGGTTCATCCAACAGAAGAAATATTATACAGTTAAGTGAAACTTTCTCTATTAATTTAACCAACATTTTCGTATTTTATTATTGTTTAATTCAAAATTTTTTTATGCTAACCTAGAAATCTCCATTAAACGGAGTAGAAAATTTTATCTTTACATCCTAGAAAATTAATTCAAAAAGCTGTAAAAATGTTATGAATAATAAGTACTACATGTTAAATATTTTAAAAGGGGGAGGGGAAGCATCTTATATTTTCACAATAGATAGTGGAATATTATTTAAAAAAATACGAACAAAACATCATTTGATAAAAAAAATCTCTTATTAATTTTATAGACGTTTAACTATGGGAATCTAGGAAAATAATTCCCCGGAAAAAAAATTCCTGTTTTTTAAGATATTAAAAATTACAAAATTAATAAAATAGGAGAAATAATTCCCTATTAATATATCCACGCAATAAAAATTCTCAAATAAAATTTAAAAATTTTGAGAAAATCAATTCCGGGAAATTATTTTCTAAGAATATTTATTGGGGAATTTTTTTCCGGTTATTTTCGGCTAACCCTTTAATGGATTGCACAAGCCTTCCTCTTCAATATATTTATTAGTGTCCGGGTCTGTTATTGCGACTCCAAATCTAACTCGGGGGCCACTAAATACACCACACCCTTTTATGAATTTTAACAAAACTAAATATAAACAATAATTTATACATTTTTAAAAAAAATAAATCTACCCTTTCATCGTTATAAAAATTTCCTCAAATATATTGAATTTATGAAACTCGTCAGCTTTTAAGTATTTACCTTTTTTACATTTCGTCTTTGATTTCTCTAAAAATTTGAAATCTTCTGTATAAAATGTGGGAAAGGAAAAAAATATTAATAACTTTTCGACTTATTTTATTTAATTCACCAAAAAAAATTTGACCATGAATCTTGGATATATCGATTTTTATATTGCCGGAATTAATAATTATCAATATTTTAGATAAAATAAATTTAAATAAAAAATTAAATAGTTGTTGAAATTTTATTAAATTGGGCTTTTGATGATTTTGGATAAGCTAAATAATGCCTCAAAAACCCTTGCTTATATATATTTTTTTATTAAATTGTATTTTGTAAATGTTTGTGATGACGGATATAACTGTTGAAATATTAGAAAAAAAGTTTTAATTGCATGTTAAAATAGTTATAAAAGTATAACTGATTTAATATAAAGTATAATAAGACATTGTATGTTAATTATTATAAAGATTATATTTATACATATGATGTTAAGAAATGCAAATCAAATTCTGTGTTACAAAATAGAACATCATTTATGTCATCAAAATTTAAAAAGATATTATGTGCATTAACATTTGAAGCCCCCCTTTTTTACCATAATCAACAAATGGTTTGAATATATTTTTAACTAATATTTTAAAAAAATTTATCTGTTTCTCAAACAGTTCGTTATTTAAATGTGTTTTATAATATTTATTTAGCAATGTTGCAAAGCTAAATGTCTTTCTATAGGTGCTGATGAAGACAACAATGCTTTGGACTTTTTGTAACAAAATATACAATTAAATCATTAGCCACTTGATGACTTAGAAAAAAATTCTGGTAAAGTTTGTTGAATATTTGCTTTTGATGATTTAGTAAAAAATTTATTAATGATTATTGTGTTAACGATGTTTTCTCTAAATGCAGAAGATTAGGGATAAAAAGTAAAAGTTAATATTTATATATACCATCATGTGTTTGATTTACTCCCTTTACAATCTGTTCGCAGAGTGCAGAAGCAGTGCCTGTGGTTTTATCATTTTCATCAGTTATTTTTTTAATAAAAATTGATTGAATATTTATGATTTTGATTTATCTTCTACTAAAAGTAAAATTGTACTTAAAGATATCACATCGGAGTTAGTTATTGTCAGAGTCCAAAGTAAAAGTTAAAGATTCAGAATTACTCATTATGTTTCCAACAAAAATATGAAATAACAATTCAATTAATTATATATACTGCTACCCGAATCAACCACTCATCAAGTATGCCTATACTCAGTATTCTCCATACTAGCTAAAATTATCAAAGAAATCAATTTCATCAGCTACAACTGCGGAACCACAGGGTATTACCAAAACAGCTGCCCAAAAATATACAATACCCACTGATATTATAAATCACCACCAATAAAATCAAAATCCATATTCCCAGAAATTCCCTATCCATCTCCTAGCCCTAAGTCAAATCGAGAAAGATATGATGAAATTATGGAATATAAACACATAAATATATTAGTGTAATTTAGACACCAACAACAAGGACTAACAGAGATGTCATTTTTTTGCCGATACCAATTTTTTTTATGAAAACTAATTTTTAAAAAAATTTATTTGAAAAAAAGTATATTATAAGAGTTTTTCCAGTCACAATGTCCCTCAAAATATTTTTTGATTATTAAAAATCATCAAAAATGCCTTTCAATATTAATAAAACTCGTAGTCATAATTTATAATATCGAATGATTCTTCATTATAAAGTTAATCCCTCAACAAAATTATTAAGTGAAAAGTAATATTGTTAAATAATATTATAGCCAGAAAAATATTGCCTAAGTCTCAAGATTTTGTTAAAAGATGTCCATTGTTCTGGATAAAATATTGAGTTAGCCTTTTTTAAAAATAGGCTCAAATAGAGCCTCTTAACAACACTTGTGAAAAGAAATAGAAATAAAAATGCTTTTTTTCTTATCTGTTTAAACATTTATTTTTTTAATTTATAAGGGTTAACTATTACTTTGGCCATTGCCCTATCAGTTAAAATTGAAGGTGCATCTCATATATAATTTATTTTATAATTTAAAGTGGTATATTATGGAAACCATTGCTAATTTTCAATAATATTTATTCCATTATTTTTTAAATGAATTTATTTTTTTAGCCCTTTTTAAAATAATCTTTAAATTATGATTAAACTATTGATGATATTCAATCAGAAGGATCTCTGCTATCCCCCTTCTATGGTTTCGACTGATAAGAATTTAATATATTTTAAGAATATTTATTGTTTGAATATTAGATTAATAAAATAAATATGATCAAAGGAAATTAATAATGTAAAATAGTTTTACTAAGCCTCACAAGTTAATGCATTGGAATTTGTAATACCCTGTCGGTTTACTATGTTAGATATTTAAAATTTAACTAGGTTCATGTAGAAAAAGATTTCTCCTCTAAAATAGATGTCACTTTATGAAAATATTAGAGTTTGTATTATAAATCTTAAAAAATTAAATTCACTTATGATAATAAATTGGAATTGTCCCAATATTTACTAGTTTATATTTCTATTTCCAGAATTTCTGAAATTGTGTTCCGAAGTAAATATAAGACATATTTCAATAGAAAAATGATATCAATAGTATTTTTTTATTTCTGAAATTTCCTTCTATAAGGCTATATCTAGATAACAGTATATCATCAAAATAAAATACAAATCGAAACTATTCAAGAAAAGGTATAATATAAGATACATGTTTTTATAATTAAAATACAAATGTAAACTAGTAAACACTAACAAATAAATTATGTTTATCAAGATTCTAATAAAATAAATATATTAATTTTTTATTTTAAATCAATTTCCCAAGCCCTAACTTAACTGCTCCCCGAATCCTGGTTTATGGATTTATCACTAATCCAAACCCTGGTTTTTAATGAGGGTTCACAGTCCTATTCTAACCGGAATCAATATAATAGTATCAAACTTGTATAAGGGTAATTTGTCCATCTTTTTATCTTGACGGATCCTATTAATCATATCAACTTGTTCTAATGAATAGGGCGACAGGATTAAATAAACCACTATATTTGCCAATATCTAAATATTTTTTGTCAAATATAATTAAAATTCTTATTTTACAATCTCAAGGTGCTTGAACATTTTTTTTAATTACCATATTTTTTTAGATTTTAAAAAAATTCAAAACAGACTCGAGCCCCTATACCCTCCCTATAGCAATTATTAGTATTATAAAAATCATATTACTAAAATGATATCATTAAATTAACCCACTAAAATAAATAATGTAAATAAGATATTATTTTATAATTTCATGTAGGAATAAAATCTTTAGACACCCATCAAAATTTTTACATGGTTGTGGCAGCCTTATTATTTAATCTTTAAATACCTAATATAGTTAGTAGTATTGGTATGCAGCAATACTTTGAAAAAAATTAATGGGCGAGGCTGGGCAAAAAGTAAAGATGCCCTGCAAACTTAATAGAGATTAGAGAATATAAAAAAAATATTCCCGTTTTATTCGGGCTTAATCTCTAATTATATTACAGTTATATAAAGTTGTAGATTAATTTAAATAATTATTGAAAAATGAATATAAAATATAAGTTGTTATGATGAATAAATAAAAATTTACAATGAGAGCTTCGGTCTCGTTGTTTTGTATTTCTGTTAAATCATAAATTGCTTTGAAATGCTGACAGATAGTAAAATAAGATTTTTCATTTTGATCTAATTGAATCATCAATTCATAAAATTTCAATTTCAAATCCTGAGTTTATTTTCAGAAAAATGAATATAAAAGTTTAAGGCAAACTTGAAAATTAGGATCATGCAAAGCTTTAGAACTAATTTTTCTGCTTATTATTTGCATTCTTAAAAAGTCTTTATTCAAAAGGCATAATCTCATTTGTTCCAATATAAATTCAAATTTTTCACGTTTATCCATCGAACCCAGGGTTTCTATCTGTTTAAAATAAATATAAGATAATTAATTTATTTATATATAGAACAAGAAGTATGTATTTACATATAATAGTAGTAAACAAATAAGATTTAGGAAGTTATAAAATCTACGCCACTTAACACCTTTCTTAAAAAACAATACTTATCTAATAATAAAATTAAAAAATAACCATATAGTATAAAAAATTTATTTAAAATGAGAACAAAAATTTTTTTTTATCATATGATCTAACTTAATATAATGTATATCAGAGATTTGCAGAGGTAGCAATTTTCAGGTTTTACCCCGCCCCCTCACTACTTTCTTTTCAAAGGCAAGCGGAAAAATTTCCAGAATGATTAATAATTTCATAATTATTTTTAAAAAAAATAGGTTATAAAAATTTATAAAATTGTAAAAATAAATATTCTTTTTAAAAAAACTGATATAAAGGTATTTCTTATGATATTCTTTCTTTAGATTAAGTTTAACATTAACTAATTTTAATTGTTGATAATTTTGATTAACAACTTTATATAAGAAATCTTTTTCAGGGATATATTTTACAAAAATTTTTTAATTGGGAAATTTTATTTCGGGTGTATATTTAAGGAGAATTTTTATTCATATTTTTAGGGCTGTGCTGATTCACAAATTTTTCACCAATTATCTAATATATATAATCTCCATAATCAAAACATGATCATTTTCGTATCTTCCTAATGTATTTAAAATTTAAGGAGACTATATAGTGTAATTTTTTTGCTCTCTACGAGAGTCGAACCACAAACCTCCCGTTTCAAATGCGTAAGCATGCACCAACTTGAATATAATTAAATTTAAAATATTAATTATATATATATTAATTAATAGCTGATATTTTTAAAATTTTGCCGTTTATTACCATACTAGCTGACAGGGTTGAAGGGTAATTAATTGGTTTGTTTTTTTGGTACTAAATATACTTTATTAATAAATTTTATAGAAATATTAAAATTTAGGAGAAAAAGAGGTAAAATTGTTGCAATGTATACAGTGACATGTAGTAAAAATATCAAAATTTATGTGATGGAAATCATATTGGATAAAATTTAAAATAGAGATGCTTTAAGATTTTTGAATTTTAAATATGGGTTATACATTGGCCTGAAAATTTTTTTTGCAGACATAGCCAGGCCTGATCAAAAAACCAAGTCCCATGCAACTTTCATAAAATTTTGTCATTTATTTTTATTGTAATTTAATAAAAATGTCTTAAATTGAATTTTATATTTAGAATAAAATTTAGATTTGTGATAGAAATCATATTGTGTAAAATATAAATGGTTGAAAATTTTTTAATTTTAAATATGGGCTAGACATTGGCTTGAAAAATTTTTTTGCAGAAATCGCCAGGCCTGATTAAAAAACCAAACCGATGCAACTTTCATATTCTGATTTTATTTTTAAATGAATTATAACTTTTATATATTCTATTTCAGTTCTCAACTAACAAAATTATTATGGTCTTTGGCGGGCTTGAGAAATTTCCCAACAATATGGTTTTCAAAAATTTACCTATCTCCAGGCTTGGGAAAAAATTACAAAATTATTATGGGTTGGCCAGGTTTGAGAAAAAAAATTTCAGGCCAATGTCTGGTCCATATTTAAAATTAAAAAATTTTCAAGCATATCTATTTTAAATTTTACCCAATATGATTTCTATCAGAAATTTAAATTATATTCTAAATATAAAATTAAATTTAAGATATTGTTATTAAATTACAATAGAAATAAATGGAATATAAAATTAAATTTAAGACATTGTTATTAAATTACAATAGAAATAAATGACAAAATTTTATGAAAGTTGCATGGGATTTAGTTTTTTGATCAGGCCTGACTATGTCTGCAAAAAAAATTTCAGGCCAATGTCTACCCCATATTTAAAATTCAAAAATTTTGAAGCATCTTTATTTTTAATTTTACCCAATATGATTCCTATCACAAATTTAAATTTTGATATTGCTAATACCCTTAATGCTCACAGGTTACATTGCAACAATTTTACCTCTTTTTCTCCTAAATTTTAAAATAAATCATATTTAATACCATATAAACAAACTAACTAATTACCCCTTCAACCCCGTCATTCTTGACAGGTTATTGCTAGTATATTTATATTGATTTTTATTTACCATCAATCTTTGTGTCAACGTCTCATAATATATAAATATTTTTTACTTTAAAAAAACTAACTAACCTTTATGAATGATTAAGTGTATTTTATTTTTCATAAGTTAATATTTTCATTTAAAATATTTGCAATGTTTATAGGTGAATGTAATGTTGTTAATGAGCTCCATTTGATTTTTAAAAAGAGCCAATCAAAATTTTTAAATATTATTGCCCTTTTCGCCAATAGAAGTCCAAACCATTCTGATATTTGGGAATAATCAATTAGCATGGGTAATTTACTCTTGGCTAAAATTTTGAGTTAATCGATTTTAAAATTGGGTAAATCGATCCACTAGCAATACTAACTAAATGTGACTCATTAGATGTTTTATCCTTTTCTTTTGCATATAATATAACATAACAAAAAATAGTGTAAAATTTTAAATTACATATTTAAACACAGCAGATAAATTGTATATTATCCTTTCAATAATTTATTATGAAATTATTTATAAAAATCGGCAGAGCCATACATATTTTGTTAATTTTTTAGAATCTAAAAAAATGGGGAATTTTTCTCGATTTTTTTAGCAAGGAGTTATTTTCAGAAAAAATACTTTCCTGGGAGTAATTTTCTGGGAACTAAATTTCTTTTTGACAAAGTCCAGCCATATTTATTTTTGGAGCCTGCTCAAGTACATTTTGGCCATTCAAATAATTTTGACTTTAAAAGTATTAAAATATTCATTACATATAATGGCGATTTTATACAGTAATTATAATTACAATATTACAATTCCTTTTCTAGTCAAATGCAAGATTATAAGAAGATTTAACTTAAAATCATAAAAAATAACCAGAAACTTTATTAAATAGAATATAACATATATTCATAATGTTTGAAAAATATAAAAGTATAACTGATTCAATATAAAGTATAATATCATATGACATTGTATGTTAATTACTATAAAGATTATATTTATATATATGATGTTAAGAAATGCAAATCAAATTCTGTGTTACAAAATAGAGCATCATTTATGTCATCAAAATTTAAAAAGATATTATGGGCATTAACATTTGAAGCCCCCTTTTTTTACTATAATCAACAAATGGTTTGAATATATTTTTAACTAATATTTTAAAAAAATTTATCTGTTTCTCAAACAGTTCGTTATTTAAATGTGTTTTATAATATTTATTTAGCAATGTTGCAAAGCTAAATGTCCTTCTATGGGTGCTGATGAAGATAACAATGCTTTGGACTTTTTGTAACAAAATATACAATTAAATCATTAGCCACTTGATGACAGAAAAAATTCTGGTAAAGTTTGTTGAATATTTGCTTTTGATGATTTAGTAAAAAATTTATTAATGATTATTGTGTTAACGACAGAAGATTAGGGATAAAAAGTTAAAGTTAATAATTATATACCATCATGTGTTTGATTTACTCCCTTTACTATCTGTTCGCAGAGTGCAGAAACAGTGCCTGTGGTTTTATCATTTTTAGTTATTTTTTTTAAAAAAATTGATTGAATATTGATGATTTTGATTTATCAAAAGTAAAATTGTATTTGAAGAGCTTTATCGGAGTTGGTTATTGTCAGAGTCCAAAGTAAAAGTTAAAGATTCAGAATAACTCATTATGTTTCCAACAAAAATATGAATGAAATATTTAGGGCTGTGCCGATCCACATATTTTTGACCAATCTGATCCAATATTGCTTCAAATCCAATCTGATATTTATACTGAATTTTCACCACACCCCATTGAACCAAATGTAATTAAGAAATCAATATTTTTTTTGAAAAAAAATCGAATTATGCATTTTATTTAATTTTTTAATTTTTACAATTAAGACTAATTTAAAAAAATATATTTAATATTATATTCATTTTATGTTGGTATGAATTATAATATATTAGATTTTTTTTAATAAATATGAGAGCAGAGTTGGGCAGTACAGCGAATACTTGTATCTTTATCTAAGATCCTTTATTTCGAAGAATCTTGTATCTTTTTCATTTTCTTTAAAAAGATACAGATACAGATTCTTTTTAATTTTCTTCGTGAAATCTTGTATTATTTTTTTATTTTTTCCTGCTATATTTTAAATATATTGATAACGAAAATTAGTTGGAAATTTCACAGGTCACAAAGATAGATAGATTAAAAATAACAACACCAAAACTAAATAAGATAAGGATATATTTTATATGTAATATTTTTTAATTTGTAGAATGTTTAACAATCATAGTAGTGAAGATGAAATTATGGAGACAGGTTCTCCTGAATCAAATCCGAATCTTAAAATTCTAGATAGAAAATTTTATAAAGTAATTCATGTGAAAATAAACAAGGTACAAGCTGAATGTCAAAATTGCACAAGTAAAAAAGTTATTAAAGTTCAATAAAGTTCCTCTACAAACTTTGTTAAACATATTAAAGTATATTATACATTTTTATTTTATTATTAATAACATAATAATACCTACACTTAAGTCCCTCTTAGATAATTGTTATTAAAAATTTTTATAGAAGATGCTTGATTATCAAATTAAAATCATTTTGGATATATTTTTTTAAGGGTGTACCGATACCACTTTTTAGAGGACGATCCGATCCATTGAATTGATATCGGTTGATTACCGATCCGATCTCATATCTAATTTTGTATTCTGTAAAGATACCAATGGTTTTAATTTTTAATATACTTTTTATTAGTATAGCATCTATAATTTAACTATACCGTAACTTATGTCATTTAAATATATTATAATGATCAGTTATAGTTTATATTCAATTCAATTGCAATTCTAAAATTATATAAAATATTTTTATTGTTAAAATACTTAAT